GAAAGAAAGAAAGAAAGAAAGAAAGAAAGAAAGAAAGAAAGAAAGAACGAACGAACGAACGAACGAACGAAAGAAAGAAAGAAAGAGAGAGGGAGAGAAAGGGAGAGGAGAGAAAAGGAAAAGGCAGGTGTTCCCAGCTACGAACAAGCGTCCAGGGACACACCAAAGAAAGAGAGGGGTGGTCCTGAGTATTTCATTCAGGAAAACCCAGAAAGCAAAGAAAGAAAGGGGGAGGGAAGGGGGAGAAGGGGGGCCAAGTTCTCGACAGACTCCAATGAGCCTTGAACAGACTTTGGTCGCTGCGAGCACGCACGGCTTGCCCGAAGGCTGCCACCTCTGACCGCTGCGGTCACGTAAAGGCATGAGCCAGCTTGGAATTCCAAAGATGAGACAAAAATCTGAGTTCTCTCGGCCTAGGCCACCTTCGCCCGCTCTGGGCACGTACATCTCCGGGCATGGGAGATAACGACAGACACCCGTTCGACGGGTCCACGGGAGGCACTCTACGGGCTCATCCCGGACTGGCACGAGGCCAGACACACTTATGAATATGCATACTGATGTGAATGCGGTCCCACACGCCGGCCTAAGTGAAAAAACCTTAGGAAACAGGGCAAGTAAAGGTAAAGTTAAATTAGAGGCCATCGCTAGAAGTTGGAGGCCATCGCCCAAGTTTGGAGGCCAAAGTACCAAGTTTACAGCGAGCATGTTTACAGCAAGCACGTTTGCAGCAAGCATCTGTGCCCACCCCAACTCTGCAGACTGGATAGGAATGCATCCAGTCGAGCAGAGCGGACGCGCCGGCCCTAAGGGCAACCGGCAAATAAACTACTAGAAGGGCACCACAAATAGGAAGAGGCCATAGCGACAAGGTTGGAGGTCTGCGCAATAGGTTAGAGGGCCCACAAGACACAAGGCAGCAAAAAAACAAAACAAAACCAAAAAAATGGATTGTGACTCCAAAGGTTGCACTGCAACATCATGAAACACTTCAAGATTTGTGCGTGTCATTCCTTTAACTGCAACATGGTGGTACACTTCAAGATTTGTGAGTGTCATCCTTCAAACTTCAAATGAATCCCTGTGACTACAAGGGGTCCACTCTTCACTCGCGCGGCTGAAATGCAATGCACAAGTTGCTGAGAAATGCGGTGGAAAACCTGTTTTTTGGGAGGAGCATGAAGAACCATGAATCAAACCGTGGAAAAGTGGAGTAACAGCGTGTGGATAAATCGGCAGGTACACACCAAAGCGTCCTTTGGTGCTTCCCCTGTCACATCCCAGCTTCGTTGGGCCAGGTTGGATGTGACAGGCCTGGCCCCCCTGCCTGCGTGGAAAGTGGGGACAACTAGAAACCCTTAGAAACAGGGTGTGACACACACACACACTCGAATGACGGGAACCCTTCGCTACGCATTCGGGAAAAAGAAGACTTGCTCCAAGGTGCCAAAAGCGCTGACCTGAAAAATGGCCTCAGCACATTCCAAACAGGTGAAGTTGGCGAACAGGAATGCCGCCAAACGGTGCGGGCAAGGAACGCCCCTGTTAGTTGGTGGTCCAAAAACCTCGTTCTCATTGGCAACATTCCATGCAAGATACGCCGCCTTGGAGAAGAAGACCATTCAAAACACATCCAAAGAACATCGTGGCAAATATCTATGGACATGAATCGACCTCCTGGCCTGGAGCGACCAGTTACTCGTGTCTGGGAAAACTCGCAGGTCAGTGCCTGAAGACTCTCACAGCATGGAGACGTGAAAAGTTGCAAATAGCTCTCTGATGCTTTCAACGAACACTGTATATACACATACACGTTGAAGGTATGACAACTAAGAGCATCTCACAAGAAGTACTTCCAAAAGAACATGATGTCTCGAAGTGCAGCAAACTCCGGCCACGTTCGAACCTCAGTTCATTTTTGGGCAGCTTTTTGCTAGGAGGGAAACGCCGTATAACGATACATGTAGCCGTAGCCAAGCTTTCTACCAGGTAGGCATTTTCTGATTGATTGCCAGCAACGAGCTTGCCCCAATCCTGCGTACAATGAAGATTGTCCGTCGGTCCAATCTAGCCCCACTTCCGACTGCCTGGCACCAAGACTCATGAAGGGACATTACGGAAGTCTGACTCACACCTGGGATTGTTTGTTTGTTTCACGAATAAGAAAGCCAAAGTCCTTGCCAGTCTCCAAAAGGTGCTTTGCACACATTTGCTTCCTGGGTTGCTCAAGAATCGTAGAAACATCTTGCTCACTTGATAAGCTCTTGATTTATGGCAAAACGTGCAAGCAAATCCAAAATATTGAAATAGTGAACCGAGAGCACATAAAGCTTCTGAGCAGTTCGCACAATTCGTTCAAGGCCTTTCTCTCTCTCCACATACATCATCCATCCTTAGTGCCATGCTTCTGTTGAAATACGGTGTCCATCTACTTCTCTACGTTTACGTGGCAAGTGTATCTTGCGTCTCTAAGTGTTCATGCCATAGGTGTCCCAATCAAAGAGCGTTTCATCCTAGCACCAGGCAACATCCAGCGTTTCGGCAAGCCTGCTGTGCAAAACCTGCTCTGTTTCCATGGCAGAACAAAGTGCTGAACACTAAGAATTTGTGTCCTTCAACTTTTTGATTTCGTAGTGGCTCATCACTTCGCCTCAAGATCTGATCTCGTCTACCAGAATATCTAAGTCGGCTGACTTCCTGGAGGAGCATCGTGCAACCAGGCGGCAAAAGTATGCACAAATTGCAGTTCGAGCCTAAGTTGTGCGACGTGCATTGCAGAGACAGATTGGGAATACTTCACACATGTTTGATCGCACGGCTGTGAACTCTAGTGATCTAGTCGTCCTGGCTGCTTGCGCATTGAACCGCTACAACAAATCCAAGAATGTCAAGAGTCAAGAATGCCAAAGTAGGAGAGTGTTACAGTACAGCTGAGTACCACACCAAATTGAGCTCTGGTGCTGCAGTTTCAATTGTTTCCGACCTCCCCGAACCCGCTCCAATCTCTACCCTCTCATTCGCATGCAATGAAATCAGCCGGGTGCCAAACTGCACAAGAAATGTATTTGGATCGACGGCCACAGGCCGTCCACCAAGAGTTCCATTCAGAGCCTCCGTAAGTCCAGACCTTGAGTCGGAATGAGTTCAGTCCCGGGTCTTGTGATGATCACACACTCACTGGCGAGGGAATTGGTAAGAAATTATGGAAAGAGCTCAAAATCCGCCAACAAATCACGAGGTTTCGTTGGTGAGGGTGCATGGTTCAGTATGATCTGAATTGTGTATGATTCCTGATCTGGACTAAAGATTGACTTCAGAGGGGGTGTGGCTTTTTTGGTCGGTACTGGAGAGATACTTAAAAACCTTGACCGAAGTGATTTGAATACTTGGCATACCAGGGCATACCATTGGTGCAAGTCACTTCTCTCTTTGCCCTACCCTGCTTCGATGACATGTCAAAAGCGGAAGCGAGGCGTTGGCATAGACAAGCACGAGGCTGTATTAAAAGTATCTGGCATGCATTGAACATACGTGCGTCCTCCTGAATGGTCTCTTCAAAGTTAAACTGTTGCAGTTTTTCTTCGTATATTTTTTGGTGTAATGCAACCAATTTTGTCTTGGTCTGCCGTGCCTCTTTTTTCACTGAATGAGACGCGGTTCACTGAACTTGATTGAAAGGAAATTTGACGTAAAGGGTCCTGTTGAGCGGTTCTGGCAATATGTCCCAATAATTTGGCTCGCCTTTCATTATAACAGTGGCTGAATAAAGGGTGTTTTCATGACTTCCATGAGTGGGACATGAGGTCGGATGCTCTTCGCAAAACATATCTGTTTGTGAACCGCCTGTCAATAAAAGTAGAAGGGAGGTTGAGGACTTTCCACAAGCCTCGGATCTAGAATGCATCGATTTTGTTCAACATGGCTTTTGTAAGATGAACCGTTTCCAAACCATACAACAACTTGGCTCGAATTACTGCATCAAAGATTCTAAGCTTCCATTTTACGTTCGCACCCGACGCTCTCCAATAAGGCAAAAGTCTAAACCATGTGATTCTGACAGATTGGAATTTGTTCAAATTTTCATGTTGAACAGTGACTTCCCTATTAAGTTCATTTCCCAAATATGTTGCTTCATAATTTTTGGGGAGTGGCGTGGCATAGTCAAAGTGGATATGTCCATCATTATTCATAAGGATGGCGATGCATTTATGTCTGTTCAACCTTAATCCGTATTGGCCTGAAAAAGTTTCTGTTTATCTCAACAGCTCGTTTAATGCCCTGTTATCGGTGGAGAAGAGAATGGTGTCGTCAGCATAAAATACACTATCGTAATTTAACCCAGGAACCCTGTTGTTTAACACTCTTCTGCTCACCTTGCTATGTATGTCAAAGTCTATGCATGACATTACTATGACGAAAAGATATGGGGACAGTGGACAACCCTGCCGGATTCCAGAGCCCTGCTTTTTGATAGTGGAGGATCCGAAATTATCTTCTACAAAGAAAGTTGGGTTACGATAGCAATCTTCTATTACCTTCTTATAATGTTCGCTAAATCCCCTTCGCTGTAAGGCCTGGTAAAGTTTATCGTGTTGTATTTTGTCGAAGGCCTTTTCCCAGTCTAGTAGAGCTGGGTTCCCTGTACTTCTGCGTAGTCTTGCAATGGACGAATTATGTAAATAGCGTGATATTTAGACCTTTTAGGACGAAAACATACGAAAACCATATTGAGTGGCTGACAGCTTATCTTCGCATGTTGCATCCGTTGACGAATCATTATCATGTACAGAACTAAGTAAAGAGATGGGTCTGTAGTTTGCCGCGTTGTCTGTTTCGCTTTTTTGAAAATGGGCACCACCCTCGCTTGAAATAGACCTACATCAGCCGACTTTGTAACTCACCAAGTATTGATCAACTCTTAGAAGCCTTCTTCGATTATATATCATCATTAAGCCAGTTGAGTAGCTCCATTTGGATTTGGATGTTGTCAGGACCAGGTTGCTTGTCGTTTTTAGAAACTTTGGGGGCCCAGTTTAGTTCTTCTATTCGAAACAACAACTCATCGGCATCGTTCTGGTGAACAACGTATTCGTCGGATGGGGTTCCCATATTGTCATCATTTTTCTGATGTGTGTTTTCAAGATACTGTGCTATTGTTTCGGCCCTTTGGTTAAGGGGAACATGGATCCCTGTCGTTTTCATTTGTACGTATTGTGGTGTAAACTTGGTTCGTAGGCCTTTAACTGCTTTCCAAAGATTATTTTTGTTTCTATCCTGGGGGTTGTCGTTGAACTGTTCAATCAGCTGGTTTTGTTTGTCCTTTTTTGGCCATCTGGTTGATTTCTCTATTCGTTCTCCCCATTTCCATTGTAGTTGCTCCTGCGTTTCTACATTGGTTCCTTTCTTCGATTATGGCCCAGGTGCTTCTAGAGATGTATGGTTTACGCTGTTCATGTGGTCTGGTTTCCAGGTATCTTTTTGCTGAGTCAAGGACCGCTTTTTGAAAGCAATTTTTTGAAAGCAACTTGCAAGCAAGTCACAAGGGTGACATCAAAAAGCATTTGAAGCTTGTAATTATGTGGAACCATGTTCAATACAGGTGACCTCAGCTGACTGGAAGCTAGTAGGTTGGAGGCCATCCCTATTAGGTTGGATGCCATCGCTGTATAGTAGGTTTCTTGGGCGCTCACAGGCTTTTGCAGAACATAACACTCAGAAGCTGACGGACCCTCTTCTGCCCCGGTGTCGCGCGATCTTCGTACCTTGTGAACCGATGAGAACCACAAAATGTTCCCTCCCAACTGCCAAATCAATGTAGAAGAAGCTGCGTGATTCTCCTCGAAAAAGACTTCGCACCATGATGCTTTAAATAATGTATGATGTCATTCCATTCTTCAATTCATGTTGCAACTAGCCGCCTTGGAGCACCTTGAGTCTGAGTCTGCTGCCGTGGTTCTAGCTACGCGGTCAGCGATTGTAGCAATGGCACCAAATACAGTGATCTTTGTAGCATCAAAGCCTGACAATCAAAGTCTTGAGCAAAATGAACACATTGCTGCTTGACCAAGTATTCAGATCTTCAGCTGCTCCAGCCTGGCCTTTGTTTGAAGCAAGCGTGCAGGCTGCTGCCGCAAAGTGCTCTGCTAACCGGCGAAGAATCAGCAACAGCTCCTGAGCTCATCAAGCTACAAGACTACAACGGCTGCAGCTGCAAATGCGAGTCTCCAATACTAAGAGTTCTACCAATTGGCAGGCGCGGGTCATCTGTGGATGAACAGCATCCCAACCTGGCAGAAAAATTGTCTGGCCCAAGCAGCCTAATCAAGTCTCTTTTTCATGAGCTCCACTTCATGTTCAGCAGATCGCATGCGAACCCAAGCCTTCAGGTGCCCAAATGTGATCACGTAGGTTCAAAGGTGCTTTCTGTGTTGCTGGGCCTGGCTGCAACTACAAGCAAGTGAGCTGGAATCTCTGGAAGAACTCCGTGGTAAAAGCCTTTCACGGTGTCAAAGGCCTGTTTGAGCATGTGTCTAAGGTTTCTGCCAAGGGGAAGCGGGATGAGCTCTGTGAAGACCTTGACAAATGTTGATTTTCTTGGGTTGATGCCTCGACTTTGGTAGTCCTTGAAATTGTTGTTAGGTGCAACTGGATTGCAAGAAACCTCCTGCAAGGGACCTACAATACGACACTCAGAGTCAAACATGTTGCAGGAGCGACACCCGCAGGTATGGGGAAAACTTGCAGCGCTCCTTGCCTCACTGCGAGTTGCAATGCATGTGCGTTACCATCGTTTTGATGTTTACTCCGACTGTCATTTGTTTAGGAGTGAGAAGAACTACATTTCTTGTATGTCTTGGTCTTGGACTGAACTATATAAACCTATACCCGTCGACTCCTACTCCTACTCGTTCTTCTACTCCTACTACTCCTTACTGCCTCTCGCGCTCCACGAGTGAGAGGTGGATGGAGCGTGTTGCTCCACCACAGTGAAGCAACAAAGAAAACCCTAAGTGAAACACGCAAGAAATTTTACAAATCGAGCACTGTTGAAAGGCTTTATATATAGATATATGTAATTACTGTAGATTTTGGACTCAGCTACCCCTCAACACACTCTTTGCAAAGACTCGTACCTACAAAGGCGAGCTTTGCACATAGGATTTCACAGAGCTGCAATGCGCGATGCACCTATGTGAAACTGCCAAGATCATTCTCAGTTGACACTCAGCTGGGCACAGAAATCACATGATTTCCTCACGCCTCGTCCAAGTCATTCACCACTGTGGGAACTTGCAGCAAATTGATTGGCACCAAAAGTGGCCTTGCAATATGCAGCTGCCACACCAGCTATGGAACACAATGACAAATAGCTGCTTTCACCAGAAATCAACAGAGCAATTTGGGTCCAACACTGATGCATCCCGTGTTCCAAAATGGGGGAACCCGATGGGCTTACTCAACACTCTTCGCTCCTTCTCCGAACTGATTCGCAATTGAAGGAACTGCAACGCACGACCAAATGCGTTGCATTCACATTGTCCTTTTCGCCACTCAAATTCCTCTGAGTTCGAATCCCGCTTCGTGAAGAAATCACAAGGTGTCGCTCAAATGAACTAGTGATGAGAGAAGCTGTGTTTTTGAGCCTGAGGGTGGGGGGAGCTTCCTTTCTGCTCGCACGCCGCACACGGAGTAGGTCGGCGACCTCCCAAGCTTCCGCTGCAGGGGTCTGTTTCCACCACTATACACCAACGACCTACAGAAGCAGGTCGAACGGAAGTGCCCAGGACGTAGGGGTGGCTTTAGCACCTTTGTCAAAGGCACGAACGAGTAACTCAAGAGTGACATTGTCGAGGTAAGCTTCGGCGCCATGGAAGGCACCCTTTGGGTACGTCTTGCCATTGCATTTGTTCCCCTTGTCGAGAAGGAGGGGCGCAACTATGATCTGCCTTGGTTTGCAATACGAGATTGCGGCGCGAATGATGGCAGCATAAGCCTGCACAGCGCATATGGCGCCGGCAGGCAGGTCAAAGCGCCATCCTTGAGTAAAGGCAAATGCTGCAAGTTCAAAAACGGAGCAGGCAAGCCCCTCACCAAGCCTCCATCTGAGAGAATTGCAGAATCCCAGAAAAACTTTAAAGTTTGAACTCGAAAGCTGCGGCTTTTCAGAGAAACTCAGATTCACATCATTGTACACCTGCCATGGGTACAAATCGGGCGGGGTATCCCAAGGCTATCGAGGGTTGACGTGGTGGAACTTGGGAAATCGGTGCACTCTCAACAGGAGGGTCATCAGAAGGTCCTCTGTCCGGTTTTTTACAGGTCCTGTTAAGCTTGGTTAGCCCGAGTTGCCGGGCGAAAACATCAGTCTCCTTAGTTGTAAGTTCTGCTTTGCGCGAGACGGCCAGCTTCCAAATCTGTTGCTTCGCAAACTCATCAGCAAGTCTATTGAGAATGATATCCCGTTTATTGGAGCCTGCAGCTTGGGCTTCAGCTTCTGTCAAGATCGCTGCTGGGATGCGCTCAAGCAAGTGGGCTGGACACCACATCACTTGTAACGGAATCCGCTGATGGATCAGTGTAAAAAGAAATCCCTACCAATTTGTATGTGTCCATTCAACCTGAACACGTCCAACACGAAGCAGGTCGTTGAACTGGTTGACTATGGTGAGCGAATCAGAGTGGACCACCAGCGGCTGCTCAGCGATTGCAAAAGCAACGAGTATGGCCCATATAGCTCAGCACTATAGCTGGAGAGGCGCCACTGCAAAGGCAATGGTAAGCCACGGATGGTGCGATAACTGCACTGACCCATCTGTCCACACATGGCGTGTGGCCGGGAGCGGTTCAATCCAGTCAGCAACTTGTAGCTCAGATGGATTAGACACTCGCAGCTTTGCCCGAACAACTTCCAGCGGGAGCTCAGCAATCCCCAACATGTTGAAGTTTGGTCCGAAAAAGTGGGACGACGATGGCTGCAGCAAGTCGGCTGGAAGCTCCTGACAGTCTTCCACAAAGTGCTGCAGTGACTCCTTTGCGATACCACAGAATCGGCAAGTTGAGCTCTCAGTCAAGCCGGAAGCCGCCAATCTGTCTGCAGTGGTCGCGCCGCACTCTCCCAGTGAAATAAGAAGGAATACCCAGGGTTTGGGATTTTGGCAATCTTCTTCTTGGCTGAAAGCGTGAGCGAAAGGTCAAGGAAACCAGCAGCTTTGTGAATGTCCTTGCGGGGCATCAGGCTTGCTGTGTGGTAACACTTGTTGGCCGCCAAGCTCTTAAGGACGCATTTGAGGTCTGCCAAGGGAAATTCCACAAAGTCAACAGCCGGCGCCTCCAGAAGTGAAATCCAAAGGGGCTACACCAGGAAATATCCAGGATATGGCAGGCCTGCGCAAACTGAGTCATCCAAGATTGAGCGGTCAATTGATCTTGCTCATAAATTGCTTGCCAACATTGGCGCGCATATGCAGATGCACGGAGAAATCTTGCTGATTCAATGATGGTGGCAACTGCACGAAACAGGAATGGATCCAACTTATGGGCCTTGTGGACAATGCAGAGCAGCAAGTGCTTTGAACGCCACATCGGGCGGTCCTGCCATATGGCATCGGCAATCGCGCTTTGTAATCTGGCCAAAAGCCTCTTTGGTAGGAAGTTCAGCTGCGGTGCGAAGGCAACCTGAGGCAGTACCTTAGTAGTCAGAATTTGAGCTCGCTTGCTGCTGTCACAAGGTAAAGCCCTGATGGCTTCGCAATCCCGAAAAGCAGCCTGTAGTTTGGAAGATGGAAAGTTCCCAACGTTTTTCTTCGTGGTTTGGACATGTGCGCCAAGTATGTTGACTACCTCGACAACCTTAATTCATTTGTGGGAAGGCTTGCTTCAGGGCCTTTTGAAGCTCGCCTGTAGTTGCAAAGAGTTCGCACTTGCTGGCATTGAGAAACTGGCCACGTAAGGAATCCCACAACTCAGTGGCCCGTACTGCAGCAACCAGGTTGGCAATGGAGGGCAGCCGGGTCCAAATGTATGTGTCATCGATGAATGCTCGAAAGTCAATCCCCTCCAATGTTACTAATGATCCAGACCCATATGGCCATGTGGACATTGATACAAAGAAGGCTTAACGAACATCCCTGCACTACACCATTCGGTGTGGAAATTGGCTGCGCTCTGGTCCATTGTTTGAAGGAAAGGAATCTCGTCGTACGAGTATACAAGGCTAGAAAGCCGCAAACAAAGCCTTGGGGCAATCCCAATGCCAGCATAATGGCAGCACATAGCTTTGGCATTAGCCGGTCGCAGCATTTGGCCTTGTCTAACTTCAGAGCAGCAAAGGACCCCTGAAAGCTGTGCGCCCTGTCTATTTCCAGCTGCATGGTCACGTGAACCTCCGACATTTGGCGCCCTTTCAATTTATTTCAGCTGAGAAGGCATGACTTCTTGCTGCCATTGCTGAAGTTGCAGAAAGCGAAGACCTGTATACAGTAGTGTGAATGCCGACTGAAGGGAAATCAAGCGCTTTGATAATGGTGCATCACTGCCGTCTTCCTTGTGGATAACCATTGAAACTTGTGTAAGGATGGTCGGGAACTCCACTGAACCTGCTTCAATACCATTGAATAGTTCAGCAACAGGTCGGACGGCAGCAGGAGGAAGGGCTTGCACTTCCCTTGTTTGCCAACCATCCAGCACGGCTGCAGCATCAGGCCGCCGACGGGCAGCTTGCTGCCAGAGTTGGTCTTCAGTAATCGGAGGCAGTGCGATAGCCTTCCCTTTGTTGTGGATGTAGGGCCACACTTCTTTGAGGACCTGCAGTTCATGGTCATGATTGGCATTGGCCGAGAACACAGAGTCCCACTTATCTGCTATAACATCCATGGCAGTCTGCGGGTCATAGATGATATTGCCCATCTCATCTTCAACCAAATTGGGTGGAACAACCGGCCTTTCCGCTTGAGATATTGGTAGACAATCTTCCCAATAGCAAGCGAAGTTGTTGCAGATTTCATGGCATTCCTCCATTTTGTAATGGCAGCATACTTCAACTGTTTTGTCTCTTCACGGATGGCTTTGAGGGTGAGCTCAATCAGGTGAGCTTGGCCACCTTCAGCCTCCGCAGGAAGCGTTGCTGAGTGTTGCAAAAGGTTCGGGCATCCCCGGATCCAGTAGCATCCCGACTGAATCGGAATTCTAATTCCCGCAGCGAGCGCAACGAGGCTTGTAGCAGCATGAGACGGGGTGAGGCAAGATTTCCTGCAGCTTCTTGGGGGGCACTGGCTTGCACCTTGTGGAACTTCGGCAACTTCCCACGAACATGTGGCCCTTTCTCCCAAGTCACACCATTCAGCAACAAGAGTTGGATAGCATAGTGGTTGTAAATATCCCACATAGCGTTTGCATCCACAGCGTTGGAAAAATCAGAGGCATAACTCCGCCACAACTGATCACTAAGGAGGTTGACGGGACACCCCGGGTCAGCCGGATCAGGTCGTTGAATTTGATCCAGGTTCAACTTGGCAGCTCGTTGCATCATAGTGCCAGCTTGTAGTATGCGGTCCCATGCAAAGGTGGCCTGAACAGGTCGATGTTGACGGTCTTGGTGATCAAGGACACGGATATCCAGCAGAGCTGTAAGGGCAGTTCTGTTCATCAAGATACCGTCGATGGATGATTGGCCATCTCCTTCCACGGTGCCGCATGCTGGAAGAAGGTACATGGCCTGATAGCCTCTCCCTGACCATCTGTACGCAAAAGGGGGTCTGCCCAGCCCCAATGATCCAAAGCCAACTGAACAGAGGGATACACGCCAGGTTCCATCTGAAAATCCCGAGCAATGAGAATAGGAATGTCCCCAAATTGCGCAGCAATTGTGAAGATCAGGCCAAGAAGTTCATTGTTGCGGTTGAATTTGGCTCGCTCTGACGCAGCGTTGGCAATCCCGTAAAAGTTGAAAGCAAGAAGTTTCACCCCAGGGGACACTTGGTGCCAAGTTGCGGTGACCCGTGCAGAAGAGCGAAGCTGGGGCCAGCTACCAGAAATTGCTGTAAATACGAAAGGTACCATTGCTGGCACGTTGCTTCTGAAGGGGCTGCGAGCAGGAAAGGTGGAAATTGCACATTGCAGCTTTACGCTGAGACTCAACCAGGTTGGAGTCTGCCACACGCGCCTCCTGGATCATGAAGGCATCTGCATCCCACTGCAGGCAGTTGAAGTTGGTCGCAAAGGAATCTACATTCGCTTGAGATGACGGACCATTTGGGCCCTTCTCCAGGAAAGCCAAGCGTCATGTCAAAACTGTTGATGACCCACACAATCTTACCAACAGAC